AGCAGCCCCGCGTGAGCACTCGTAGTCCTGTCCACACACAAGGACTGTGCTGTGTGGCCACGCTCCCAGCGTGCACAGAGCTGTGAGTCTTGATGGCTGAGCCTCCTCTTCATTGTCACCAGCTCCTGTCCCTCACAGGTTCCAGGAGGTTCTTTCTCTCCATTACGTAAGCCTTCTTCCCCCGACCCTCATCTCTGGCTCCTTTCCTTTGTGCCCGCTGAAATGGAAACCTTCCTGAGTCTTCAGGATTCTCCGTCTCCATCTGCATCCCTGCCTTGTTTTTCCCCCCATTTCTCAAAATATCTCCTTTTGATATTTGGCCTCTTTTTTTTAGGCTTGAAGTTCCTTCTGATTCAGCTTCTGCCCCCCAAAGCCTGCTCTTGGATCTCATGGCACCCTGCTTGCCCCAGAATCTTCTTCGCTCTCCGTTCCTCCACTGTGCATTTCACCCACTGACCACTGACCCCCAGACTCATCCTCACTTCCAGGACCCTGATCTCAGCCCCCATTTCTCTGAGTGATTTGTTGCCTAGCCTGGAACTCAGGTTTGCTCTTCTGTTCGGTGCTCTGCCCCAAACAGCTGGCTGTCCTCTCGTTACTTCAGTCCTCGTCTTTTAGCTCTAAATTACTTTATTTCATGCCATTCAAACCACCTGTGAGACATTTTCACTTAAAGTCTATTATAACCCCAAACAACACAGATGTTCACTTAAATCTCCCGGTCCAACCTGGTGCCATGGCTCTCCACTTCTCCAACTTTGAATCCTAGAGACCTAAATATGGTATTTAATAAATGATTACTAATTTTAGCCCTGCTATTAATTAAAATTAGATTTCAGTTCTCTCCCCTTCAAAATCTAAGAAATAAGAACTTTATAAAGAAATCCAAATTTATTCAGTTTGGGCAAAATCTTACCTCTGTTCAAAATACCTTTATCTTTTCTGATTCACTGAAGAGGTCTTGGATTTGCTATTTTAATTTTAGCACTTGCATACTTGAAATGTGTCCTGGCAGCATAGTTTAATCAGGGTTATTGTAAAACAGGGTGAGGTTTCTTCTGGTAATTATGTCAGAAAATGTCATTTGGGTATCATTTGGGTTTTGTCAATGAAAGTAGGAATAAGGAATCCATAGAATTATTGTGCAGCTTGAGAAATATTTCTGCTCTTTGAGTATCTGGAAAAGTCTGGTAAACCTAAGGTACAAGTGAGTGCCCTTCTTTCTTGTTATTTCTGACGTACTGCTGAACTGCTCCACTGTTCTATCAAAGGCATCTGTTTATACATATCCTGTAATTAAAGCTGATCTTGAGTGTCCACGTGCAGTATGAAATGTTCCCTAAAGTGCCAGCACATATTATTGCTTGGGCTTAAAGATGAGAAGCACAAAAGGGAATCTAAAATACTAAACAAAGAAGTTATAATTTAAATTTCCCCTTGGAAGGTATAAGAAAAGGTTTACACACTTTCTGCATATAAAATTTCGCCATTTCAAACAAGACTGGTGATGTACAGTCAAGGTGACTCCACATGAGTTTCACATGTGCATTTGGACTGTCGACTCTTTAGGTAGTGGTCATAAGTGACTCCCTTGCTTCTCCCAGTCATACTGAGTTTGGGTGCCTCCAGTTGCATCCACTTCATATTCTGACCAGTTAAACATTCTGAGCACGCAGAGCAGGGGCTGTGATCAAGTTCTCTGCCTAGATAACTCAGAAAGGCAATAGTAACCTAGATTTCCTTCAAGAATTGTTCTGAGCAGTAGAACTATGTTCTTCGAAGAAAAAGTAACTTTTGATTAGAGGCTGTGCAAATTGGAGAATCAGTCTTTGTAACTCTGTAATGTTTTTGGTCTTCTGCTGGAAAAAAAAAATGCTTCGAAGAATGAAAAAAAAATTAGGACAGTAAGAAGCAGCCTTTTTCTGTCTTCTCTACAGTGCTTGAAACACTCAGTATTTTGGATTAATCCGAAGCCTAATTAAAGAAATATACCAAAATGCTAAAGCAATTTTTGTGCTAGCGTGGTGAATCTTTTTCCTTTTCAAAATGTTTGTAATGTGCTTATATTTTATATTGGAAGCAATAAATGAGAATGTTAAATTTATCTGAGCCTCTGACAATGAGTATAATAATCACAATGGTTATGGGCAGTTTCCCTGTAGCCAAAAAGAAAATGAGCCACTTTTTAAAAACTTTACACATTTCAAGATGTATTGTCACTTTACACATTTCAAGAAAGGCAAGGTAGATTATTAGTAGAAAACCCTTGGAGGAGCCGGTGTGGTGGAGCGCACCTATAATCTCAGCGGTGGAGAGGCTGAGGCAGGAGGATCGTGAGCTCAAAGCCAGCCTCAGAAAACACAAGGCACTAAGCAACTCAGTGAGAGCCTGTCTCTAAATAAAATATAAAATAGGGCTGGGGATGTGGCTCCGTGGGTGAGTGCTCCTGAGTTCAGTCCCTGGTAGCCCACCCCCCAAAAAAACACCTTGGAGGTAGTTTTTTTCCCCGCAGATTCCCGTCTGTCTTTTGTAGGAGGCGCAGGCCATCCCTCTGCTCTGAGCTGGGTGGTGCGAGGCCGAGCTCGCTGCTGCACCCCTGTCCCTGGTCTTACACCCACAGGAGCCTGAGCCTGCCCGGCTGAAAAACCTTCCTGGGCTTCCACCCTCTGTAGGCTCTGGTCTTCCCCTTCCTTGCCCCCACCTGTACCCACACTCAGCAGCGGCTTCCTTGGCTGTCATCCCCTCTGCCAGGGCTCAGCCCGGCTTCCCTGGCTGTCTGCCTCCCGGGAGGCTCCCCATGGAGGCACCATCTGAGCCTGGGAGTCACACAGCTTTGTTGCCCTCATCCACTTGCCTCTCTGTCCTTGCATTGTGAAATGTGAGCTTTAGGACAAGAATTGTTCAAGTCTCCAGATTGTCAAGTCTTAAAACAGTACCTGGTTGCTGTTCAATAAATGTGAATTCTAAAATCATCACAGCCACACAGTGAAATGGGTACATCCTCACTTTGCAAATAAGGAAGTTTGCAAAAAAAAAAAAAAAAAATTGCAGAAAATCCCCAAAACAACAACAAGGAAAACCTCGGTTATTAAGTGGCAGAACTGAGATTCGAACACAGGTTTGTCTTGTCTGGAGCCTTCACGTGGTTAGGCTGCCTCCCTCCTAACATGGAGAGTTTTTTCCAGACCTCCTCCCAATTCACTGAAAACCAGGAGGAAGGTAGGAGTTGAGTCCCCCACGCTGGGATTCCCAGATGCACCAACTCAAGTTGGAATTTCCAGACTCACCAGTGCACCTGGGGGATTCTGTGCCAAAATGAGCCTGGAATGGCATTTTGGTTGTATACTGCAGCTTGGCCAAGAGGCATCTCCCAAAATGAGAACTAAGAAAACCGGCAACAGAGTGCGCAGGAGTGGTTTGTGTGCAGTTCCGTTGTGAGTTCTCTGAGCGGAAGTTAGTTGCTGAGGCTGACCTTGAACTTGAAATTCTCTGCCTCAACCATGCCTGACTATAAAAAAGGAAGCAAAACAATAGGAGATAACAGCTGTAGCTTCAAAATGAAAACTTAGTTCCTAAATCGTGAGCGAAATTTAATCTCAAATATTTTTTCCTTGAATGCATAATGCCAAGCTTACCAAATGATACCAAGTGGAAACAACTAAGTTGTGCACAGATCTGCCCACTGGCCATAGCAAGAACCCCTGGAGGAGAGAGAGCAAACAAAACTGCTGGTAGAAGTTCAAGTCCCCTTCAAGTACTGTTTGGAGTCGGAAGACTAGCTATATCTTAAATATATTTAAAAACGTATCACTAGGTTTCTTATAAGGGAATAATTAGTTACTTGTGTCAGCAGTGTTTGGTTTCTTAATTTTGAGTCAGTAGTATCTCTCCACTGCAGGAATTCTCCATGGGATCCACGAATCTTAACTAGCAATCCAGGCTCTCTTGATGGCTGGCTTCACGGGTGTGTTCTGCTGCCATCTACTGCCCACTGGTGGCACACAGCACAGTGGTTAGCAGTGACTTAACCCATTCCCAGGATTGTCCTTTGGTGTTTGCCAGAAAGTAGGAGAATTCCAGAAAGAAGAAAGACCGTTAGGATGAGCTGGCTCCTAAAACTTACTGCCTCATCCAGCCGGCCACGCCCACCCGCCTGCAGGCCTGTGCGTCAGCCCACCCCAGAGCACACATTGCAGTGCAGCGCAAAATCCTGCTTTGCTGAGATGTCAGTGAAATGATCTTGGATTTTTAAGTTATTTGAATGGTTTGCATCAGTAGAAAGATGAATGCTTTAAGAGACCCTGTCCCCTTGGGTCACCTTCAAAGCTGGTCAGCCACACTTAGAATGTGCTCTGGAGAGAAACAATCTTAGGGCAGACAACACTGATCACCCGCTTCCTCCACGTCCATGCCTGTATACACACGTGCTGGTCCCGGATGAACAGATCACGTTTTCACATACTGGACGTTAGTGTCAGATGGTGGTTAATAACTACTGGGGTTAGTGCTTGTTTGAATCAAGACTCGCCCACATACTGCCTGGGAAAGTCTAGGCAAGTCACAATGAATCTCGGCCTGTTTCTGTTGCTGTAATATGGGGACAGTAGTAACTGGAGTGGCTTGTTAATCTAATGAATATTTATGAATTGCTTGCTATTTGTCAAGTGTTCACTTTTTATTATTGATTTTGGTACTGGGGATTGAACCCAAGGTGTTTCACCACTGAGCTGCATGGCCGTGCCTGGCTAAAGATACTACGTGGGAAAAAAAGCTGATATCAATGCCTGACACCCCCGCTCCCAACGCCTTTCTAATTTTCACTAGAAGGAATGTTTTTCTCCTTACGTATGCAGTGTTCATTCATCAGCCTGCTAAAAACCTTTCTCACCAGACCCCCCCCCCGCGCATGCACACACACACACACACCTGTGAACCTGTATTTGAAAGGCTTGGTCCTCCTTCATTTTCCCCCTAGTCAATGGAGCCTCATAGAATATTAGATCCTTTTCTGCTCAAAAGCATGATAATTGGGTGTTCACACTGTTGTGTGAGATGTGCCTTTCTTTAACTTTGTAACAAAGTCAGCACATTACCTGTCTATGTGAAAGAATCTTAAACGGCATCTAGTCCAGCTGTGCCCAATGCAGGACTGGATACTGTAACACCCTGTGTGGACATCACCTGGCTTCCCATCTTTGAACAATTTAACCATTAATTCATCTTATACCCAAATCAACTTCCCTGTTAAGTCCTAGTTGTGCTCTACAGATCTTAGAAAAAGGTTTGCTCTCCCTTAGGACAGCTCTTTATGTATTTGAAGAGAGTATCACTTCCTTTGTCAAAAATCATCTTTGAGGGCTGGGGTGTATCTCAGTGATGGAGTGTGTTTGTCTAGCATGTGTGAGGCTCTGGGTTCCATCCCCAGCATCACCAAAAAAAAAAAAAAAAAAAAAAGGATTCAGAGCTGGATGTGGTGGCTGATGCTGTTAATTCCAGTAACTTAGGAGGCTGAGGCAGGAGGATCACAAGTTAGAGACCAACCTTAGCAACTTAGCAAGAACCTGTCTCAAAAAATAAATAGGGCTGGAGTGGTAGAGTGCTTGTCTAGCATATGTGAGACCCTTGGAAGGGCCCTAAATCATGGCTTGAGATGAAAGATGAAAATAATCTCCATAAAGTCTCTGCCCCCCAAATGCATTGCTTCAACGGTGAGTTCTTTTTCTTATTCAGCGTTTGCAAGCTGAGTTACCATAACCTTGGAAGGGGGAAAAGGGTTGGGCTGGCTCATGTGCCAAGTTTGGGGTGCCGGCTGCTCCCCGGGAGGCTCTGGGCCCCACCTGATGGCCCCACCGAGCTGCTCCACCCTGCTCACACCCAGGAAGCCCTGATCTGCCATGCAGGACAGCACACACATGCCAGCAGCCAGCCACTGGGGCAAGCTGCTCCTTAATGTCAGCATTTTTTCTTTTGTACTAGGGATTGAACCCAGGGACACTTTACCACTGAGCCACATTCCCAGCCCTGTCAATTTTTAAATTTTGAGACCCTAAGTTGCTTAGGATGTTGTTATGTTATTGAGGCTGGCCTCCAACTTTCGATCCTCCTGCCTCAGTCTCCTGAATCCCTGGGATTACAGCCACGTGCTACTGTACCTGGTTTAAGTCTCAACCTTATACAGAACCCCCTGTTCTTGATATTTCTTGTGTGAGAAACAAATTGGAACTTGGGAGTGGAGCCCAGGGGCCTGCATGCTGGGCAGGAGGCACCCCCTCCCGCCCCTCCTGACATTTTATTAGCTCTCCACTTGAGGGAGGTCCTGATACCATTTTTTTGCAGATGAGGAAATTTAGGAAAAGAAGCTGGGACAGAGACGCAGGCAGGCTGACCCCAGGGTCCCCCATGCACCCTGCTGTGGCACAGGGACCCAGATGCACTTCCCCAGGGCATCTGGAACTCGGAGCAGGAGCTGGCCGGTTCCCTGTTCTCAACCACTTCCTCCTGTATTTCTCTCGGGTGGAACCATCATTTCCACAAGAAACTCCCTGGTGGCAGGTCCTCTCCCTCCCCCATCTCCTAACTCTTAAATCCAGCTCTTCTTCATCCTGTTAACCATCCACATGCTGAGGTGGAGCTGTGGGCAGACTCCTGGCGTAAGCCTGCCTGTGTCCACGTCCCAGCTTCCTTTCTTACACTCCCTGTCACCAGGGCTCTGCAGAAGAGGCGCCTGCGTGTCCAGAGAGCACTTGCCAGGTGCCCGCAGCACCTGCCTACAGCACTGTGACCCACACTCCCAAATGCCCATCTAGTTCCCTCCAAGCCCGCCAAGCCCAACCTACCACTGTGGTCACCAAAATGGCATCCTGCCCCGTGGCTCTCCCCAGCGGAGAACCTTCCAGTGGTTCCCGACAGGTGGCAGGAGGAAGGCCATCAGTCCCTTGTCTGAACATGTAGTTCGTGTGATATCCACCGCCCTCCCCACGCCTCTGCCCTCTCCCTGGGGGTATGATCCCAACACCTGCCCTTGAAACACCCAATTTGGGGGTGACCCTTCATTTTGATACAATGTTAGACTTACAGAAAACTTTGCGAAATAGTGCAGATTCTCCTTATTCTTCACCTTCACCCAGATCACCGTGGGTATTTTGCGTTGGCATGCATATGTGCGCGCGCGCGCGCGCACACACACACGCACCATGTATAAATATTTTCTTCTGAGCTATTTGGTAGTGAATTTCAGACATATTGTGCCCTTTTACCCCTAAATACATCAGCATGTCTTCAAAGAACACGCGTGCTCTTACATCATCAAATTATAGTTATCAAAATTAGAAAACATTCATGCGATATTTTCTAATCTACAGGCTGTGATCGGATGTCACTAACTGTCCCAGGAATGCTCCTTACAGCTCTTTTTGTTCTGGTTCAGGATCACGCGTTGAGTTGTCACATCACCCTATTTCCTCTTACGTGACACTGCGTTTTTAAAGAGTTGAAGCTTGTTATTTTGCAGAACATCCCCCAGTTAGAGTTTGCGTGGTGTTTTTGCAGAATAATACGCAGTCTTCCTGCTCGGCGGGAACAGCCCAGAAACAATGCTGGGCCCTTCTCAGCAAATGGACGGGCCACATGCTGCTGCTGGGTTGTCCCACTCTGGGTGATAAGAACACTCAGGACTTATTTTCTTTCAACTTCAGTTTTCATTTCACCTTCTAAGGAAGCCTTCTTGTACCTTCCCACTCCAGTTAGGTCAGGTGTCCATTCCCTGAGGCCCAGGGGCGGAGTCCATTCACACTGACCCAGGCAGCATGTGTGTCCCCACGTCCTTCGACTGCAAGGCCCACCTCTTGCTCAGTAGAGTGGCCCGAGCAAGAGGCACTGAAAACGTGTTTTTTCAGTGAATGAGTGAGAGAGAACATGCGGGAGCTGGTACAGTTTACAGAGCAGCCGTGTGTCTGTCTGGGCTTCCTCTCTGCTTTTATTCATGAAGCATGGCAGACGGGGGTGTGGCGGGGGTGGGTTTCTGTTTGTGCCAGATTGTCACTGAAAGCATGCAAGTCCGACTCTGTCTCGGTTAAGAAGCACCTTTGCGGGGTGACTGGGCCAATTCTAGAGCTTTCCACGAGTTTCTTGGTGGGAGGAGAGTGGGAGTGGGGGACACTCTGGGCCTTTGGTGGTGTGACGTGTCGGGACTCCGCAGAGCACGTAGAGAGACTTTCATAGTGAGCTGGCCTCCGCCCTGCAGCCTCTGTGGAGCCCGTGTGTCACACCAGGGAGGGAAGTGGCCCAGGGACACCCCGCAGCCTCTCACATCACTGTCCCCTCTGCTCTTTCAGACGCAGGAGGAAGGAGACGCACTGAGGCCTGGGGCTCCTCAGCTCGGCTGCTCAAGTGCCCGGTGCAGGCCGCGCCCTCGGCCTTGGAGGCTTCTGGAAGAGCCCTGGACGCGGTTCCGGAAGCCTGGCCGCCTCTTCTGTCCTGTTTTGCTCTTTGTGAGATGTAGGCCAGCGCTGGCCTGCTCAACCGGATCCTCATGTGGGTCCCTCTGAAGTCACCGCTGGGAATGGCTGTCGCTGGGCTTCGTGGCTGATGAACAACAGCTGTGGTGCGTTGTTCCTGGGTGGTGATTTCCCGGGAAACCAGGCCTCCGCTGCCAGCCAGGAGGACGGGAGACGTGGGTCCCCGTCAGCCAAGACTGGTGACCTGTGCGGCCCAAGCTGTAGGCTCATTCAGGGCAGCTCGCTCTCACCTGGTGACACAGATGGCAGCTGGGGTCGGGAGCCAGGGGGCCGTGTGTGAATCGAGCTAGAGCAGCCCTGTGACAGGACAGTCACAGCACATACCTTAGCAGCTTTCAGTTCCCTGTGAGGGACATGCTCAAAGATGAGTGTCCTCGGGAGCTGGCGGGGAGCCGTCTCAAGGTGGAGTGGTCCCCCGCCAGCAGGCCTCCGTGGAGGTGGCCCTGGGGCCCCAGCTGGGTAGTGCTTTGCGTGGACGTGAGCGATCATGCCTCAGGACAGAGCTTCCTCCCAGCCGGGCTCCTGGACACCCGTCTCTGTGTTGGTGCCCTAATGGCCCCTGGGGTCTCCTGTTGTGCTGAATTGAGTTGAATTGCCTTGAATCAAATTGGACTAAAATAAATTGAATTGAAAGGCCTACAAACAAGAATGAATGTCCCCGTGGAGTGCCAGGCCCTGGGGGGTCAGAGCTGAAGGAGGCATCCCTGGTCACACCGCTGGGCTGTGAGGGTGCTGTGCACTTGCAGTGAGACCACATTCAGGGGTGATGGTGGGGGAGGGGAGGGAGGAGTAGGGAGGCTGGGGGTGACCTTGGAGCTGGGCCTTGGAGTACTGAGTGGGGAAGGAGAAAGCAAGGGTAGGAAGTAGCACTGCTGTGGAGGAAAGGCAGGGACCAAAGAGAGGTGACGCCGGCTTACCTGTGCCTGTCCACGTCCACACAGAGGAGAACGCCCCCACCCAGCCTGCGACCCCCAGCATAGAGACCCCAGGAAGTGCCCCCGCCACACCTACTCAGAATCCAAGGCAGATGGCCCAGGAACTTGCATTTTGAAAGACACTGTAAAGTGAATTCAAAGATCCAGATGGCCTGGGGGGACAGGAGGGAACCCGGATCCCAACCTGTGTCCAGTAACTCACTGTCACACTTCCTTGCATACCAGAACCACCTGGAGGGGCTTGTCGAAACTGCTGGGCTACAACCCCAGATTGCTGCTGCTGCTGAGAGGGATCCACACAGACAGGAGGAAGCCCCAGGGGCTCTTCTGAGGAGCCGGGAGAGCAGCGCTATTAGGAGCCCTGAGATTGGACAGATGCGCACCCAACCTAGGCTCTAAGCCCTCCCCTCCATACAGAAGGTGCTGTGGACATGGAGCCTTGCCCAGTGCCCTGGATCTGAAGGAGGGTGAGCCTGGGTCCTTGGTTTCTTGGGGCATCTGGGGCCCCTTACTCCAGTGATGCCCTCCCCAGCTGCCCTGCAGAGGTCATGACTCTGAGGCCACTCAGCACGTCTGGGGATCCAAGCAAGCCTAGCTTCCTGCAAACTGAGGGACTGCTGTTCATTCTTGGGCCGGTCACTGCTTGGATCCACAGC